ATGTTTCAATCTGTTTTGGTTCAGATAATTTAAAAGAAAACTATGGGGCAGTTCTTTCTGTCATACTTACCATCTTGTTAATTTTCCCAGCATAAAACATTCAAGTTGTTCAAAGTACACATTGGAGACTAAAGTTCTGTGTAGAGAAGTTTCAATGATATATCAGGAAGTAATTTGTTTTTACATATATGAGAACATTGTAGTAAGGCTTCAAATCCGTTTAGAGTAAATCACTACCTTGCCCCGAGCCCCGGTTCTCTTTTATTTTCGGTCACTTATGATTTATCACAAACTATTCCAAATTTTGGATTAAATAGCCATGCCAAAACAGATGGCAGTATTGTCAAAAAAATGAATATGATGTTCATGTTTGGCAATTTTGATTTCAACGTGACTCAGATGGCACGCTCGGATTCAAATTGGATACTGCCAACCTGGTTTAAATTAGTAGGAACCCCTCCATTCTTCAATTGTAGGACCCTTATGCATTGATCATAGTTCATAGCACTTGCCAAGCCGATACCTCAGATTGTTTATGTTTGTAAAATTATGTCACTGATGGATTATTATTATTATTATTATCATTATTGGTGTAGTTGTTTGAAAAAGGACTACAGAGTCATGTGAATGCATAGTAGGTCAATACTCCCAATCATGCAAATAAAAAAGTTTACTTGTGTAATATAATTGTAAATAAGGATGATCCAACGCGTATTCAAAGTTTACAAGTTGGCCTTCAATTAATTTATATTTGTTAAGTGTCAAAACTAATATTAGCTTTACCTAACCATGAACAGGAAGACCTTTTTCAAATGCTGGAAGATTTAAACAAAGATTATTGTTGCAGACTTGGTGCATGCCTTATATAGTTTGTTATGGGAGGTTGATAAAGTCCTTGCAAGCGGCCACCATTGCATAATGATACAACTTTATACAGAGACATAAGTACTAGCTTGACAGAGAACTTGTTAATGGACTTGGTCGAAAATCCCATAATGACATAGTTGTCTGAAAAATGACAATGACACCTTAACACATTTTGACACATTCCTCACTGTTTTCTCAACTCTGATTTTTTCTTGGGGAATAAAGTTTTGTTTTAGGTAATTTCTTAGAATTAAACAATTTGATTTTGAGGGAATCTAACTGCTCTAGATGAGCAGTTGACTAGGTTTTATGCCATCCAACCAATGCCATGCGAAAAATATAATAGGCAACTAAGAGAGATTTCGCCAATTGACACCTGTGTTAACAACCCAGGTCATAACCTCTCCTCAACAGTACTATAAAGCTAACAGTTCGTCACACATTCCTCATCAATTGTCTTCTTCAGAAATGGCAACTTCAAGGTCATTGGCTTCAGTTTGCATAATCTTTGCAATGGTTCTATTGATGGGCACATCTGAAGGGGCAACACTCTCACCCTCACCTGCACCGTCTCCTCATGTGCCCCCTTCTGGTCACAACTCTGCTGCTGCTGACTTCTCTCCTCATTGCTTCATGTCAATGATATTCGCTTCCATAGCCTTGATTGTACCATTATGTTTCTCATTCCTCTATTAGTTTTTTTTTTCCTCTTTTCATTCATATTTCCACTGTGTTTGTTGGGATTTTGTTGTGTTTGTTCGTTTGTCATTGTTCTGTTTTGGGTATACAGACAGAGAGGTGGTGCTGCCGGCTCTGTTGTGTATTGTAATCTGATGTCTTCATGTGATGATTGTTTTGTTTCATAATAAACTCTAATCAGTACTTATTGTTTTCTTTTGTTAAATATATGTTTTTCTTGTAGTCTGATCATTCAGTACAACCATCTCTCTCTTTGGCAAGGGAGAAGTATGTACATAAAAGAAGCACCATCCATGGTATGTGAAACATATACTGATTGCTAGGCTATTTGCTCAAATTTATATCCACAATTGTCGTGGTAAACACCCAAATGCAAACTAACCATAGATCTTAAAGCAACAAATAAATTCCGTTCTAAAGAATGTGAAGATGGTCTCCAGGCAGGTCAACTTATTTAGGTCAAAATGTTAGAAACATATTGAGGCAGAGCCAAAAAAAACAAAAATATAGAGAGGCAGAGCCACATACAGGCAGGCCTGTGTCATGGTTTCCTTTATACTCTTGATAGCTTTTGAAAATCACAAATGTGAGTAAGAAAGTCGAAGTAGCCATCCTAAATCCTATATTATACTAAATTGGCCCCAATTTTTGAACTTCTTCCTCTATACTGTAAATATATATTGTAGTTCAAGTTTCAGTACAGTTATGATCTAAGAAATGTGATTTTGTCAGAATATAAAGGCATCCCTTTGTTTTTTGGGGTTGAAGTAGGGTTTGTTTTTTGGGGGGAGGAGGGTGTTGGAATTTTTACAAGTTGCATAATAATAGCATAAAATGAGATTTACTATTGCTCTTAAATAAATCCAACCACCAGTTACATGGCATTAAATCTCAAAATCTATCAATGATGGGCTGGGCACCTAAACTTTTTCAATTTCATAGCAGATATGTGGTAGTAAGCTCCTTGGTCGAATTGGGCACAGCATCCAATCCTCATTCCTCTGCTCAGTAAGAATACCTGCAATAGAGCTCCAATCAATCCAATACCCTGATCCATAAGAAGAATAACCTTTTATGAGGTTCTGATGATAAGAGTTCCATTGCTCCTTATTTGTTTTCAAGGCCACCGAAGTATGACAACTTAGTCAATTGTTCATACTAATTTTTTTTTTTTTTTGGGGGATGGGGATGGGGAGAGTGAGGGGATTTGAACCCTTGATTTCAAGAAGCCAAAGCCATCACAAGGCAAGGAGTACCATTGTTCATACTGCTTGACACTTATGAATTCAAAGTTTGAGCACTGAGCTTCACTATATATTTTTGACCTTTTAAGTGGAGCACCAATGTTGCCAAGATGACTAGGCAGCTGGGTCAATCTGAGCTACTGGTGGCTAAGTTGAAGGACCATAACCACCCCACCCCCCCAAAAAAAAAAAAAGAAAAATAAGTCACCTTATGAACTCTCTCCCTCAAATTGCTTCCAATATTGGGCTTGTTTAGCTAATTTGAGACTGATCTAATTAATATACGCATTAGTACCATCAGAACTCAAAGTAGGCAATTTTCATACTTCTTTAAGGTCCCCCCCGGCTCCATCTCTGAAGAGAAGGAACCGGTGAAGGAGCTTTTTGAAGATATGAATTGAAGCCCTGAGACTCAGTTCTACTAGCAACGTACAATTTATACATGACATACAAAGGTTTAGTTTCCTTGTTGGTTGAAATTTACAAAGACAATGAAGTGTTTTGCTGTTGTCTCCATTAGAAAACATAGTAAAATCGTCAACTTCAAAGCAATGGAAAATCTACAACCCCTGCTGATAAGAATAGCATAGTCACCACAGTTTGGAGTTTTCCATTGCTTTCCCAGGGACCGAACGAGCCAGAATTAGGGTTCAAAATCTGGAGGTCACCCCACTGAAGTGCAAAAAAAAAAAAAAAAGTTACTGTTCAAACTTCAATCAATTGTTGAACAGTGTGGTTTTCGAAGACCTGGGGGACCATAGCGCTCCTAGGCCACACCATAGTTCCATCCATGCTCCTCCCTCTGAGCTATTTTCAGCCAAGGTTGCCACCAACATTGTACTAAGTGATGACACACCTCTGGAGACAAATTTGTTTGGACTCTTGAGAGGCTAGGTTGATAAGAACAGCTAGAGCGATCCATTCTTTATTGATAATACTAATTAATGGTACTATCAAATGAAAAAAATATAAGTCCAATCAATTGTTTATGTTATCGATTGTCTAAATTTCTCCTTCTTGTCCTTTAGTTTTATGTAGCTGTCATAAGGAAGGCAACCTGGATAATGTAACATCTGCTGCAAACTTCCATTCGGAGATAAAAAAGGTAGTATGAAACCCTGTCACCGTGGGGTTCTAAGAAGGGATAAATATATATAATCGTATATGGGAAAAACTGTTTTTGAGAGCTCAAAATCGTATGATGCCCAAGTTACGATGGATCAATCTTGTCACTATCGTATGATGCCCAAGTTATGGCATTTGTTTTCGTAAGTCATTGTCCAGCTTTTGTTTCTTTCTTTTGGGGCCTTTGGAAAACGAAATGGTTGTCTGTCACAGCATCCCCAATATGAGGGTGCAAGAATTCGAAAATCCGACTTTGACTCTAGCTGTGTCGGTGTCGGAGTTTAACGGGATTGGAATTAAAAGGCAAACTCAGACTTATGTCAGAATCAGAGTCAAAGTTGAAATCGGAGTCTGCAGTCCTTCTGAAAAAACTCCACTTTAAACAAAGGGGGACCAAAGTTAGAATCGAGCCGGCGGATATGTTCCCTCCAAGATAGCCAAACCTCGGAATTCTACTCGAGCATTCAAATTTGAAATGGAGCACCAACAAAAACATCTCTAAACGAGGTTCCAGCACCACACCAAATGAGCCTGAAAGCGACTCAAAGGAGTCATGTTCATGGCATATCCTTACAGGACCTTCTTCATGTTTGTAGACAGTAGGTACAGGGCAAAGTTTTCCACTTCGGACGGTATTTTTCCTAGCAGTTGAAGTCCAAAATCAAACAGAGCCCCTTGATATTTACGTCATTCTCCCCCCCCAACTCGATTCTCCTCTCCTCCTGCCGCGAAGAGCATCGTTGTAGTGACATGTAGCCCACTCAAGCAGACCAACAAAACTTTTCAAAAGGACAGTGCATGCATTTGCTTCCATCCAACAGTGTTCTCACATTCAAAGCCATGGAAATTCCTAGGATAGTTTCGGACGAGTAACCCTGCTCTCTCCCTTCCTTCTAGAGGGTTACCCCTGTCTTCGACCACCAAGAATCCATGGCTGGCAGCAAACTGAATATGCACGGCGAAAAATTAACTACAGCGTACTATCACCAACACGGGAAGAGTAAGCTAAAGCCAAACCAAAACGGGGAGAGAAACAAAGAAAGAATAGAGAAACATTTCATTCAACTGGATTCTTTTAATTATAAATTTTACATCTCAATACACAGCGAAACAATGTTAAAAAGGCCATCTCGACGTGGCATGCGTAACTCAGAGAGGAAGATCTCACAACTAAACTAAATCCTACTGAGAGGCAAGTTATCTATCTTACAAAAATAACAGAATGGCTAAAGGATTAAACAAGAAAACCGTGGAACCTCCTTGAAGCTAAAGGAGATAGAAAACTGATTCCTCGTGTTACGAATCCCCACTCCCATGTAAAGATAGCAATTAGATGCTCCCACGGTCATCCAAAAGTAAATCACAAACACTGGTATATTGTGATCCTTCTGAAACTGTTTCTGAACTTGCATAGCTTACTTAATAAGAGAACTCATGACCTCGAAGTGAGATATACTTCTTTACCCAGATGGAAACGTCCTCCGCACAGGCCTGGGCCTGAGGGGTCTTAAGGAGCATATCAAGAGTTGCAAATTCATGAACTGCATCCTTATACTCGTAAACTGGTGCATCAACATTTACCTTCCGGAGCTCCTCTGAATAAGCAATTGCCCGGTCTCTCATCCAATCATGCTCTGCCACAACGGTGAGTGTTGGAGGCATGAGCTTTAAAGGTGGCCCCCTATCAGGGACAAGTGGGTTGGCGGCAGGGTGGTCCAGGCTGAACTCCTCCTCAGGTAAAAAAAGTTTCCATGCAAGTATGCACATAGCCTTGTCATAGAAGTAGGAATTTGCCAGTTTTATCTCAGAGTGTGTTGGAACACTTCCAATGAAAAATGGATACATCAAAACTTGTGCCACCACCTTGACAGGGTCCAAAATACTGCCCAACTCAACGGCTTTCCGTGCAACATAGTCTGCCATATTTCCACCACAGCTCACCCCAAGAAGAACACACCTGTTTCAATGATGATAAACTGGGTCAAGTTGTAAATAAAAAGAGCTTATATTTCTTAAATAAATGAACACGCGAAGCATATAATTCTACAACAAACTATAACACTTTTCATTTTCTTCAAATAAGTTGTAATAACATTCTTTCCTTGCTTGGGTTGCCAAACCTCTTCATTCTCTTAAAATCACCCAGAGTAAATAAATACAGTATTCGTTAAGACTCATTTTGTCAATGCACACCCAAATTGAAAGGACACTGAAGGCCTTACCAGACAAATGAAAATGACTAGCTTTTGAGGCCAAAAAACTGATAACAGGAAAAGAAAACCACAGTCACCAAATATCATGAAATATCAAAAAGCTTAATTCCAACTTCCGGCCACATCCACCAAATCCAGATCTAATCTTCTTTTTTTGGATAGGAAACAAAACAATTTTTTTGATTTAAAATGGCAAAAATTGATACATCAAAAAGCACTATAGATGGACAAGATGTCCAACTGTGAAATGGAAAAATACAGTTCTCTATTCATAAAATTATGTATCGCATGAGGCCTTCCAATCCGCCAAATACAAAAAAGCAGAATGTCATCAAACTCCTTCGTAACAGACACCCACATTGATGCCAAAAAATATATGTGATCCCATATCCAGATCACCAAACTCTTTCACCAATTCCAGATCATCAACCCATCAAAGACAAAATCGATCCCACTTACAAGTGAGCCTTCTTAATATCACCCAAACGAGACCCTAAAATAATTCATAAGCTTCTCACGTTCTCCTTTTCTATTCTCCTAAAACCAAACAATATGGTGAGGTAGCAGCTAGCAAAGTAACCAAAGTTGAACAATTACTGCAATCAAAGTAATAATGTTATATTTTATACACTAATTATTTAGTAAAGAAAGTTTACGGAATTACAATATCTAAAATCACATAACAATATCTCAAAAGTGAGTAATGTCTATAACACCAGGTTCCATCGAATTGGCAACTGCATGTTCTCATTGCTCTTCTGACGCAGGACGTCAAAATTATTTATAACTAGAATGAAATTTGCACTTGTCTGGCAATTTTTCTTTGTTAAATGATATGCACCCATGTTTGAACAGCAACCTAAAATCAAAAGGTGAAGGATCATGAAATCACTCAAGTGAAAACACAAGTTCTAACCAGAAGTCACATAGAGTTGCTCTCATACTGGGTCAGAATTAAAAAGACAAGATACTCATATCAAAGGGAATTCCAACACTTTCAGATTTCAAACCAGGACTGGGAAGCCCCTGAAATCAGAGAAATTATCTACAAAACTTCTAAAAATATACAAACTGATGAAAATCAGGCTGCAAACAGAGCTCATTCATAGCTCTAGGTAAGGTTAAAGTGGCGGAGGATTCAACAATTAAAAAAAAAAAAAAAAAGATGTACACGATTATGGAGTGTGGCATTAGCATTATTACCACTTTCCACATGGCAAAGACCACTTCCAATCACATAGCTTCCCTTAAAGATTTCTCACATATGACCAATGCTTTGCTTGGCGTAACATCTTGAACTAAAAGTCCATCTGTGATATGACTTTATTAAATGAACATCATGAGATGGACTTCCAACCAATATTGGTCAATTATATCACAGAAGCCTTACCCAAGCTTTCTTGCACTCTTAATATGGTTTATGAGCCCAGAAACTTTTTTAGGCATATGGGTGTAAAGAGCATTAATGTTCAACGCAGAATCAACTTTACATGCTTATCTAGGTACATTTGAGTGTGTGTGTGTAGAAAGACTCATTAGATTCATAATGCCTTGGAATTAACAGAAGGAGAAATCCTAATAACTATCTAGTCTCTAATGAGTAATGACTAGGGGTGCTATAATAGCAATCATGACATTGATAGACCAAGCACGGTCCTCTGTGCATGAAAAATAATTTCAAACCCATTTGTAAGTAACAGGATTTCTGGCCAGCTGCACTAGCTTCCACTTCCAGATTCAAGAAAAGGGTGACCCCTTTCCAAAATCTGAGCTTTCCGCTGTTTGTTTGACATCATAAGTTGATTGGTCACATTGAACTTGCAACTAATTAAAATCTGAAGTTTCTACATTGAAATAAGCCTGCTGCTCTCGAAAGAGAAACAGTGATAAAAGTGCACCAAGGGAAGACAACTAAATAGAAAGGTTTAAAACAACAAAAAGAAACAAAAGCTGTAATAAGAAAGAGTACAAGAGAGGATTTTTTTTTTTTTTTTGAGCATGATCATAAGGATTGGATCTGGGATTTTTGTTAACTTATTATCGTCCCCATCTTCCGCAGATCCTCATATTCTCCGTAGTTAAATTGGCATGTCAACATGAATATAAAATAAATGCACATGCACACACACACACAGGAATTACATAAACCCTAGTTCTATTTAATCCCGTGGGATGGACTTTCTGAAAACTGACCATCCAATAGAAGCCCAATTAAAATGACTCGCAAAACACTCATAATGTTTCTACTTGGTCTTCTAAGCCTTAGAAGCCCATCTAGAGTGTTGTCAAACGGACACCAATGATGCTTCAATGTGAAGTTCTATCGTGTATCAGCCCAAAATGTCACAATTGGCAATGCAAGACAAAGCAGCTCGTTATGCCTTTAAATTGAGAAATGGCACCATGATATCTTACAACTTTTAGTAGCAAATGCATAAATGCACCAACATATATTAAGAATGTTCACATGATAGAATAGCAAGAAGAAAGCGTCTCAATAAAAACAGTATTCCCAAAGGTTCTAGTTAGTGCGCACATGGCAAGCATTGTGTTCTAGCTGTTTTAACATACGTCATGATGAAATATTGTCAGCATTTGGTCAGTGTCCACTTAGATGCTAAAAGTTAAAGACTAACATAGACGGGTTAAAAGCTTAAGCATGAGTAATTAGTCGGTCTGAAATGATTTCTAGATATCCTAACTTGAACTTGAGCAAGATAAATGGTGTGCATTACCGCCGAGTGGGGTGGTCTCGTGGGTTCTTGGCCGAACTTCTCACACTGAAATTCGAGTCTTAAAGTCCACATTGAAACTCGATAGTTAACTGCTATGTTAGTCTATGTTCGTTTTTTAAAAGGAGTAACGGACACGCTTAGAAACCTCATGATCCACCAGGAACGGCCTATCGGGTGGTCTCTGTGCGCTCTCGTTTGCTCCAGCCCTTTTTTGCTTATCAAAAAAAAAACGATGTGCATTAAAAATGAAGTCACTTGAGAACCTGAATTTCCACTATCATAACTAATTCTATCATTTGCACACATACTCAACATTCTAAGCAATTAATCATAGAAGCAACATCTGCAATCAGTTCAGTTTGATATGTTACCATCTTATTAGTTAAGTTCCCCCAACTGAATTGAACTACGCTACAAGTTTCTTTACCACTTACAAGCAAAGCAAGATTATCACCGAGACAATGGAATGAACAATCTAACCTGGATGGATCTCCATGAGCAGCCAACCAAGGCTCCACCATAGATGCTCCGAAAGCATCTGCAATATGTCTATTAACATCATTCTTCCTCAAATCCGTGCCACCACCCTTGTACTCCCCAACGACTTACTACATTCCGCCAAATTCGCCTGCTTTGCCAGCCAATGCAGCACCTTCAGCCCATCCTCAAATGCCGCTGGGTACCGATTCTCTGGCGCAAGCCTATACCCAACGGACAACACAATCACATCACACAATTTGGCAATCCTTCGACAGAAAAAATCATTTGCCACCGAATCGTTGCTACCACTCACAAACCCTCCCCCGTGGAATTGCAACAACACTGGTAATTTTCGGCAATTATTGTTCATCGGTGCATAGCCTCTATAACCCGCACTCTCTGACGGTTTCAAACTCGAATCATCCCCAACAAAACCATAACTATTCCTTCTTTGATTCTCATTACGTGTAAAGACGTCATTATCATTAGAAGATCCATAGCTGTTTCGCCGAGCAGGGCTGCGATTCAGATTCAGATTCAGATTGGGATCTGATCCAATTTCGGTATTGGAGTTTTTACTCACAGCCCTAACCCTAGCTCTAGACTGGGACTTAGAATCGGAATCAGAAGAGACGAAACACGTGTCAGGGAGAAAAATTCGGAGGGAGAGACAGGTTAAGGGGTCGATGTGGATGTCCTTGGTGGCGACGCCGTCGGTGAATGAAGGGTTGGCGGCCGCGATTGACTCATCAGCCCGTGACGTGACGCCGAAAGAGTTAATGTTATTTTGATCCAAAGGGTTTTGATTCGGTTCTGCAACCGGTGTTTGAGAAGGAATTTGAAGAACACACTATATAATTTTACAGCTACGCTTGGCATTTCCCTGTTTTTCAATCTCTCTATATCTATCGACGCACCCCTCCCGCTCTCTCTCTCTCTCTCCTTTTACTTGTTACCAGACACCTGAAACGTGAGAATTGATGTGCAGTTCGAATATCTACTGCGACATCATAGTTTGTTTTTAGATTTGATTCGGACGATTGTGGAAGTATCACATTGAATCAGGATTTTGGGAAGAATGTTCGGCAAAAGATTGAGATTACTTCAATCAGATGTTTCAATTTTGGGCCGAGGGGGGAGGGGGGTAGAGAGAGAGAGAGAGAGAGAGAACCTGGGATTATGCTGTGTTTTTTTTTTGGCTTTTCGGGACTGTGTCGGGATTCGTTCCGTGTCAGGCACCATCTACAGTACAAAATTTAAATAAAACTAAAAACAGTTGTCGAAAATAATTTTTATTAATGCAACATCATATTATTATCATTTAGTAACATATGAATGACAAATAAATTTAAGATACCAACAAGTGATCACGACAATAATAACATAATATCATTTTTATAATTAATATTTTCGTAGGTAAATTACAATTATTTTTTTTTGAGGTTTATCGCTGATACACATATGTCGTTAGGTATAAAAAATAACATCATCACCCTTTGAGATTTGATGTCATAACATAAAACCTCTTGATGTTAAAGTTTGTCTAAATTAATCTTAATGTCATGAGGATACTTTCATCATAAAATCTCTAAACTACTCCTAAATAACCATCACTAACTTATCAAAAACCCAAAATTTGTGTGTGTTCCTCAAATGCCCCATGAATTCTATTAATTTATTTAGAAAATACCTCGTTCTTCAACCTTGCTATAGCCTCAACAGTTAACCTCTCCCACCTTGCCAAACCCCACTCCAAATGTTGAATTGTTAAGTGGTTTTATAAAACGAACATTTCCTCCCCTAGCCATTTCGCGTTCAGAAGATGTGAAAGTGCGTTTTCGGCCGCCTTGTCAGCGGATGTCGCAACCCAACTGCAAGCATATGAGAAAGTGAGCGAC